TCGGGTTGCACGCCGCAACATTATTATATGATTTGGATCGGGTTGCACGCCGCAACAATATTATATGATTTGGATCGGGTTGCACGCCGCAACAATATTATATGATTTGGATCGGGTTGCGCGCCGCAACAATATTATTTGGGATCGGGTTGCACGCCTCAACAAGAAATAATAAAAGTGAATATTGACTTTTATGGTGAGAACAAGAGTAAAAGCACGAAGGGTGATGCCGTGCACTTTCTGCTGCTGTGTTTATTAGTTGTTATCAATTCAAGTGCTTAAACTGTTTAAACTCCTTTATTGATGTGATCCTTTGTGTTAGAACCTGCAATGTTTTCAATACCTCACCGTATTTATGTATATATATACTCCAATATTTCAAACTTCAATAATTGTTACAGCGTTAATTCAATTAGTTTCTCAATTATACCCCCTTAAACCGTCTGAGGTTGTATTTTACTTAAAAAGAATTTCTACTAAGTTTTAAGTTATTAAATCTCATGTTAAAGGTAATAATCCATTCGATGTTATATTTTTAAATTAAAAGGAGTACTTTCTTTACTCAAAAGATTTCAAAAGAAACAACTTCATCTTTTCTCGGTGGCTTTCCCAATTAGTTTGGAAATTGTGATTTTACTTGTATTAGGTAAATGAGACTTCATAAACACATTGAGTGCATTGTACGGACATTATGTATTGTATAGCATGTGGATTCTGTTGTTAAAAGTGAGATAGAAAATATGGGGGCACAAGGTGCCATGCGTGCGGAAGGTTCGGAAGTTAAGATTATGATGTGAGAAACCGAGGATTGAGATGGTCGGGATTGTGTATTAGACATGATGTGATTGATTGAGTGGGCATTTCCTTCTTTAATTGAATATATTCTTACTTGTCTCTGTTCCTGTTATGTCAGTGTTGATTTACTTGGGTTATCATTCATTAGAACCCGTGTTCTCCCTTTAATGTTCGTACTGTTTGTATTTTGATTTCTTTCCGCTGTTGATATTACCTCGATGTTTGATTATCATATCCTGTTCATTTCATTTGACCAGTAGGTGTCTTGATTGTTCCTCGTCACTACCCCACCGAGGTTAGTCTTGATACTTACTGGGCACCGCCGTGGTGTGCTCATACTACACTTCTGTACATTTTTTTGTGTACAGATCCAGGTATTGATCGATAGTAGCTGTGCGGGTCGTCGCGGTGGAGACTCACGGT